ACCCTTGGGTTCACATGAGTAGTACTTTGCTAAAGCGTTTGCAGGATCCAGAAAGGCTTCCTCTTTGAGGCTCACTTTGCTCCTCTCTCTGGTTTTTGGCCTTCAGGACCATAAGGCCCCTCTCCAACTGGCTGGCATTAAAGACGGGCCCACTCTGGCCTGATCCTGGCACCAGCAATGGGATGTTGACCTGTCTGTTGAGTCTTGGAGCCCACCACTGCTAAGGAGACCCAGCTGGAGCTAATTTGCTGGGCTGAGTCATAGCATGTGGTTGGAACCGGTTTCTTTTCCATCACAAGGATCTCCCTGAGCCTACTGAGAGCTCACCACTTTGCTAAATTCCTGGGTGTGGGTGGGTGTTTAGGCATAGTTAGGCTTCTGAGGAGGATCCTTTTCCAGAGGGGAGGTTATGATACACTTGATAACAACTGCGAACGCTTCAAAACTGTCTATCATTAGGGCTAAATGGTTTGTAATATGAGAATTACTGCAAAATCCAAAGTGGGGGGAGTTCAGGGAAAGTTAGCAGAGTTAGAGAACATTTATTATTGGTTATCCAGGGGATGTTCATGAAAACATTCATTAGTGCTGCTCAGAAGAAAGAAAACAGAGTGTCAGCAGAGCGGGCCAACCTGGGCAACTTCCATGGGAAAGCCTGGCCAATCAAAGAGAGCCTTGCCTCGGGATAGAATGGGATTCCAGAGCTTTAGTGGCCAGCACAGCAGATCGGGACTTGACCTTGTAGTTCAGGGAACAAAACTGTAGCTTGGAAATACAGGGACTGTGGGTTTACCTCTTGCATTTGCATGTTGCATTCGGTTATTTATTTCTCTTTTTGTTAACTTAGTTTTGTCTTGAAAGGATCTCTGTCAAACAGTTGCAGAGTAGTCACCATCAGGCAACCAGGAAATTTGTCCTTGGGGAGCTAGTTAGGCAATCAAATGCTGACTTAGATTGTTGTATAATCAGGAAGTCTGGTTCTAATCTTAGCCTTGCCACTGCTCTGCGCCTTGCTGCCCAGAGTGTGGTCTGTGGAGTCACAGCTTTACCTGGGAGCTGATTAAAAATGCAGAATCTTGGGCCTGCTTAGACCTGTGAATCAGAAGCGATGGCTTAGGAGCCCCAGGTAATTCACCTGCACATAAAACTTTGAGCATTGACCTAAGTGGTAAACTCTGGTAGGGCATGGGCATTTTCTAGTTTCTTATTTATTATTTTGTATCTCCAGTGTCTATCTGAAGTTTAACACACAGTAGCTGCAAAATCCTTGAATCTTCCTCTTACCTTGGGCATATTTGAACTTCTAGGATCTTTGTAAGCTTCTAGGGACTTAACTGTAAAGTGGCGTAGGGAGAGGAGTGTTGAGTGGAAAAGGAGCCAGTGATTGAGAAACTGAGGTGACCATAGAAGGACTGGTGTTGTGAGTTTTGTTGTTGTTGTTATTTTTTGTAGAGATGGGGTCTTGCCATGTTGTCCAGGCTGACCTTGAACTCCTAGGCTCAAGCCGTTTGCCTACCTCTACCCCCCAAAGTGTGGGAATTACAGGTGTAAGCCACCGCACCTGGCCTAGGTGGTAGTTTTAATATAGATGTTTTTAACCTACTAAGTCAAAGTCTATGAGGGTGGCTCATCAAATTTGTATGTTTTTATTTATTTATGCCTTTAAACCACATTCTGAAAGCAAAACTTTTGTGTTTTTGAAAGTTCCTTTCATGTTAAGGAATATTTTTTGCAATATTACATATAGTAAAGAAAATGTAAGAGTTCCTCAAGAGGAAATGGATAAATACAATGGAGTAGAATTCAGATGTTTAAATCAATGAAATAGGGCTACATGTATAGACATAAATAAATCTAAAAAATTTTTTTCAATAAAAGAAAATTGCAGAGGATATATGAGATATGGTACCATTTACTTAACGTTTTAAAGAAGCCTATGTATAACAGATACATGCATATGTAGTAAAAGGATAAAGACCTGGATGGGAAAGATAAACACTAAGTCTGGCTAATGGTTAACTTTGAGACCGATGAAGGGAATAATGGGAGCTTTAACAGTCCTTCATGTTTTATTTTTTGAGAAAAAGAAAAAGCAAAAAAAAGATTACAGCAGCAAACATGTAAAAATAAGATTTTTAAATTTTGTATTTAAATTTTTAAAAATTGTATTTATTTATTTTTAAGACAGAGTCTCACTCTGTTACCTAGGCTGGAGTGCAGTGGTGTGATCTCGGCTCACTGCAACCTCTGCCTTCTAGGTTCAAGTGATTCTCCTGCCTCAGCCTCCTGAGTAGCTCGGACTATAGGTGTGCACCACCGGCTAATTTTTGTATTTTTAGTAGAGATGGAGTTTCACCATGTTGGCCAGGCCAGCCTCAAACTCCTGACCTCAGGCGATCCGCCTTCCTTGGCCTCCCAAAGTGCTGGGATTACCGGCAGGAGCCACCAAGCAAGCCTGGCCAATTTTTTTTTTTTTTTTTTTTTTTTTTTTTTGAGACGGAGTCTTGCTCTGTCACCCAGGCTGGAGTGCAGTGGTGTGATCTTGGCTCACTGCAAGCTCCGCCTCCTGGGTTCACGCCATTCTCCTGCCTCAGCCTCCTGAGTATCTGGGGACTACAGGCGCCTGCCACCACACCCAGCTAATTTTTTGTATTTTTAGCAGAGATGGGGTTTCACCATGTTAGCCAGGATGGTCTCAATCTCCTGACCTCGCAATCCGCCCGTCTCGGCCTCCCAATGTACTGGGATTACAGGCATGAGCCACCATGCCTGGCCTTTTCTTTAAAGACAGGTTCTCACTCCATCGCCTGGGCTGGAGTGCAGTGGTACAATCATGGTTCACTACAGTCTTGACCTACTGGTCTCAAGGAATCTTCCTGCCTCACCCTCTCGAGTAGTGAGGACTACAGGCATGCACCACCATGCCTGGCTAATTTTTGTATTTTTTTGTAAAGACTGTGTCTCATTATGTTGCCCAGGCTGGTTTCAAATTCCTGGGCTCAAGTGATCCTCTTGCCTCAGCCTCCCAAAGTACTGAGATTACAGGCATGAGCCACCTAGCCCTGCCCAGTTTTTTGTTGTTTTTTTTTTTTAAAGGAATGACTACATAATTGTTCATAATATGTATAATCTTTCTGAATGCTTAAAATATTTCATTATGAAATGACTAACCCAAATTTCCCTGGTAATCGTGATACAGGCAGTTGGCAAGTGGCCTCAAATACTCCTAAGGACCTTCCAGTTTGAAATGTATTTGTACTCAGACACCTCTCTCCCTGATCCTCTCTCTTGTTCTCATAGACAATCATGACTATTAGGACATACCCAAGTCCTGTAGCTTCCCTGCATTCTGTCCTGATGAAATGCCATGTCCCGTGTTTGTGATGTCAGTGAATTTCACTGTTCTGACTCTTTAGGGACCTAGCCTGCAGGGGCCTTCTCTCTGCTGTTCACTTTGCTTCTTTATTTTTTTATTTTTTATTTTTTTTGAGACTGAGTCTCGCTCTGTCGCCCAGGCTGGAGTGCAGTGGCGCGATCTCGGCTCGCTGCAAGCTCCACCTCCCGGGTTCTCGCCATTCTCCTGCCTCAGCCTCCCTAGTAGCTGGGATTACAGGCAGCTGCCACCACGCCCAGCTATTTCTTTTTTTGTATATTTAGTAGAGACGGGGTTTCACTATGTTGGCCAGGCTGGACTCAAACTCCTGACCTTGTGATCTGCCCACCTTGGCCTCCCAAAGTGCTGGGATTACAGGCATGAGCCACCACACCTGGCCCTATTTTATGTTGTTATTATTATTTCTAATATAGTCAATAGCAATGATTCTAAACCAGGGGTGACTTTTTCACCTACAGACATTTGGGCAGTGTCTGGAAATATTTTTGATTTCACAACTGGGGGAGTGCTACTGGCATCTAGTGGGTGGAGACTGAGAATGCTACTAAATATCCTGCAGTGCACAAAACAATGCCCACTCCTGCCCTTCACAACGAATAATCCAGTCCAAAATGTTATTAGTGCCAAGGTTGAGAAACCCTGCTCGGAAGATCCTCATACCATGAATATAGACCCATCAAGGAGGGAGAGTGGACGGGACTGCAGCTCCTTTAGAGTGGGACAGTGTTACAGCGGGTATGGGAATCCCAGGGAATTTATATGGGCTAGTTCTATATTATGTCCAAAGCATGATGGGGACTGGAAAGTTCATGGTATTAGAGATGAAGGATGGGAGGATATTAAGGAAAAACCAGAGAGGAACAAAGTCCAGGCCATGGGGAGACTAGAGAGAAGCCACCTCTAATATTTTTGGGCATGGCACCTTAGTGTAAACTGCACCTTCCTGCTATAGAAATAGAGGATTGCTTATTTAAACATATTAATATTATCAGTGCAAAATGTGGTAGGTCATGACAGCAAGGACCCCCAGTGAATCATGCCCCCCGCACCGTCCACACTCATCTGCATTGTGACTCTGCCATTCCTCTCATCAAGCAGCGGAGTCTGTTTTCCTGCCCCATGGGCGTGAGCTGGCCTTGTCCCTTGCCTTGACCAAAAGAATGTGGAGGGTGTAATGGTATGTGATGTCTGGGGCCACTCAGCTTTGGTTTTTCTCCCTCATGGAAGATTTCTGCCATCATGGGAGGAAGTCCAGCCTGATCTTCCCTTTTGAGAAAGAGGCCCAGGTGTCCAGGGGTCCCAGCCCAGCGCATTCGCAGCCAGCCTTCCCACTAATGTGCTGTGTCAGGGAACCCAGATGAAATCAGCTCACCCATCCAGCCTAACCCACTGAGGAGCGAGAAGTAATATATTAATATTATGGTTACCTTCAGCCACTAAACATTGGGGTGGTTTGCTACACAGCATGTGCTAACTGGACATTGTGTGTGTAGAGGGGACTTCATATCGAGCATGGACGAGGTAATTTGCCTTAGAATATGTGTGTAGGGTAACTATCGCATCATGGTTAAGAGAAACTGAGTTCTTCCTCCTTTGTTTCTTGTAGCACTTCTCAGAACTTCTGGATGAGTTTTCCCAGAACGTCTTGGGTCAGCTCCTGAATGACCCTTTCCTCTCAGAGAAGAGTGTGTCAATGGAGGTGGAACCTTCCCCGACGTCCCCGGCGCCTCTCATCCAGGCTGAGCACAGCTACTCCCTGTGCGAGGAGCCTCGGGCCCAGTCGCCCTTCACCCACGTTACCACCAGTGACAGCTTCAATGACGGTAAACTCAGAGGAGGAGGAAGACCTGGACCTTAGCCCCTTTGGTTCTGAGCTCTTGAGGGTGCTGAGTGTGTATTATCTTAAAGAGGGTGTCAGCACCCTTGTTAGTGAGATACCTACAGTGTGTAAGGCCTTGTGCTTGGGCTGTGGGGAAAAGCAAAGAGGCACAGGACCCATTTCTCTACACTGCTCAGGTCCCCTGGGGACTTGCCGTAGCTGAAGGATAGTCATTACTCTCTCGTCCTGTGGCTTCAGCAGCAGAACAGCCTTTTGCAAATCAGCCCGGCCTATCTGGCTGGTCGTTCCTGCCAGTACAGTAAGTCCATTGTTTCAAGGGGTCATGCCTTTTTTTTTTTTTTTTTATGAAAAAGAACCATTCCTCTATAGAAGCTTCTTGGGCATCCTTCTAACCCACTTCCATCATGTTCTATTGACCCCATGTCCCCCACCCCAGATCTTAGTGGACATTCCTAGACTTTCTTGTTGGTTACCCTTTCATGCCCATCATCAATGCCATGAGTGTGGTATTTGTTGAAGGTCTAGTTTTTCTGAGCTTGGAGATATTAAGATGTTTTCACCATTACTCTACAGCCCATAATTGGTAAAAACTGTATCTTGTTCCAAACTCTCCAAGGCATATATATATATCTTTTAAGTGTAATTTTCTTCTTTTCTTTTCTTTCTTCTTCTTTTTCTCTGTCCCTTCCTCCTTGCCTCCCTCTTCCTCCCTCCCTGCCTCCCTTCCCTTCCTCCCTTCCTTCTTTTCTTTTCTTTCTTCTTCTTTTTCTCTCTCCGTTCCTCCTTCCCTCCCCCTCGCTCCCTCCCTGTCTCCCTTCCCCTCCCACCCTTCCTTCCTTCTTCCTTTCCTTTCCTTTCCTTTCCTTTCCTTTCCTCTCCTCTCCTCTCCTCTCCTCTCCTTTCCTTTCCCTCCCTTCTTTCTTTATTTATTTTCTCTCCTTCCTCACTTTCCTTCCTGCCTCTCTTCCTTCTTTCCTTCTTTCTTTTTTACACAGGGTCTTACTCTGTCATCCAGGCTAGAGTGCAGTGGTATGATCTCAGTTCACTGTAGCCTTGACCTCCCGGGCTCTCATGTAGTCATTCAGCCTCAGCCTCCCAAGTAGCTGGGGCTACAGGCATGTGCCACCACACATGGCTAATTTTTTTATTTTTTATTTTTTTGTAGAAATGGGGGTCTCACTATGTTGCCCAGGCTGGTTTCAAACTCCTGGGCTAAAGTGATTTTTCCTCCACAGCCTCCCCAAGTACTGGGATTACAGGCATGAGCCACCATGCCCAGCTTTAAATTTAATTTTCTATGTTTTGTTTTCTTAGAGGGATAACCAGCTATTTTAGTACTGTAAATTTTTAAAACTACATTTCCTACTGCCAGTCCAGCATATGCCTTCTTCTTTCCAGGAGGATGACATGGTGAGGAATACTCACTAACTTGACCTTCTTGATGTTAGTGTTGACCTCTTGTTCTTATACCACTGTACATAAGGCAGCATCTTTTGAAGATGGCTGCACCTATCAACCCATCCTCTAGGGATCTATGCTAATGCTGTCCCTCCCCTTGCTCCCCACCCCCCGACAGGGTCTGGTGTGTGATGTTCCCCTCCCTGTGTCCATGTGTTCTCATTGTTCAACTCCCACTTATGAGTGAGAACATCTGGTTCGTGTTCTGTTCCTGTGTTAGTTTGCTGAGGATGATGGTTTTCAACGTCATCCATGTCCCTGCAAAGGACATGAACTCATTCTTTTTTATGGCTGTGTAGTATTCTGTGGTGTATATGTGTTACGTTTTCTTTATCCAATCTAGCATTGATAGGCATTTGGGTTGGTTCCAAGTCTTTGCTATTGTAAATAGTGCTGCAGTAAACATACATGTGCATGTGTCTTTATAGTAGAATGATTTATAATCCTGTGGGTACATACCCACTAATGGGATTGCAGGTCAAATGGTATTTCTGGTTTTAGATCCTTGAGGAATCGCCACACTATCTTCCACAATGGTTGAACTAATTTACACTCCCACCAACAGTGTAAAAGTGTTCCCGTTTCTCTGCATCCTCACCAGCATCTGTTGTTTCCTGACTTTTTAATGATCGCCATTCTAAATGGCATGAGATGGCCTTTTATTGTGAGGCCAAAGCATTCACCATTCAGTTCCCCCAGCTGGGGCTTTGTTTTCTTTATAGCCCTTAGGCTGTGACAGGCCCTGCTGGTAATTTGCTGAGAACAGGCACGGTGGGTCAGATGTATTTTACAAAGGGTTTCTGATCCACAGCTCATCTTTTTTGAAGTACCAATGTCTTCCCTGAGTAAAAGTCACTTTCCTAGGCCAGCAAAAGCACTTTTCTGAGACAGCAAACACGGGATACACTTTGGGAGGCCAAGATGGGCGGATCATGAGGTCAGGAGATTGAGACCATCCTGGCTAACATGGTGAAACCCTGTCTCTAACAAAAATACAAAAGAAATTAGCTGGGCATGGTGGCAGGTGCCTGTAGTCCTAGCTACTCAGGAGGCTTTTTTTGGTCACCAGCTTTTTTGTGAGGATACTAGTCATTTAAGATGTGTGAAATCAGAGTGAAGCAGTGTGGATGAGTGGATGGGGAACTTGCCCAGCAAAGCTTTGTCTGGATCTATTTTTCTGAGTTGTGTGGATGGGCAGATGTTTGGGAACATAATTATTTTATTCATGTGAACCCCAGTTTGCATCCCCCTTAAGGTGGCGATCCGTGGGGTGGGGGAATCAATCCACGAGTATTTCTCCCAAATCCAAGTGCTCTGTTAGAGCAGATAACACCCTGATGGAGAAGGATGGTTTTTTTTAGGCAATACATAAATATGTAGCATGTATAGACAGCTGTATACCTTAAATTAAATATTCTTTGTCTGCTGTATGGGGATAATAGCTTAAGCAAAACTAGGAGTCCTTGTGTTCAGTGATGGATGGGGAATTAATATTTCATTATACCTGGGAAAACCAATGATTCAGCTCTCCCTGTCCAGTTGTACTTAGATTAAATACAGTTCTTCTGCAATTGCTTCTAAGCCTGGAAAAAGAGTGATGACACACAGTTAAGTGGAAACTCCTTCCTAATTTATTAGAGTTTTTCTTCTTTTTTCTCCCTCTGCCTCCTGCTTCCCCTCTCTCCGTCTCCTTCCCACTAGAACTCTTCTCTTTCCCTCTTCCTCCTTTGCCCTTTTTCTCCTAACCTTCCCTTCCTCCCTCCATCCTCCACCTGAACCCCAGGGCAACTAAAAAGGGCACGCGCAGATGTTCTTATCCTATCATTCTATCACGGACCTCAGATGGACTGTGGACCCCTAAAACTGTATATAAAAATTTGGGCTATCTATATTTGTTAATTTTTTGAGAGTTATTGCATCTTTTCTTAGATTCTCAAAAGAGTTTGTGACCAAAAAAGTTAAAAATAACTGTTCCAAGATTCCACAGGAGTCATCTATCTCAGGGGGACTTTGAGTGTGGACTTCTGAAACACTAGAGCTAAGGAACTTCACGTGGCCCAGCAACCACAGGAGCCAACCCTAGAAATGTAGGTGCAGGCTTCAAAACCAGCAGAAAGACATCCTACATCCAACTCAGCCATTTCTCCCTGTGATTAAGGCTGTGAACCAGACGCTAAGCAGGGTTTTCTGTTCTACAAAAAAGGCAACAACAACAACGAAACACCAAAAAAAAAAGGAAGAAAGAAAAAGAAAAAAACGTGTAATGAGGTTAAGGGAAAAAAAGCAGAAGCATCCAAGCAAAATATTTGTGATACTTTTATGCTTTGAGAAACAAAAGCTTGCATTTGAATGACCAAGTCTTATACCTCACCACATGGAGGTTGTCTTTATGAGTTACTGTATTTCAGTCATGTTCCTTTGTGTAATTCAATTGGGATGCTAGGTATGCATTTGCATTGTCCTTTAATATTGGTGTTCTTCCTAAAGAAGAAACTCTGTGGTGCTGGATGAGGGCTGTTCAGAGAGAACCAGACATGGCCCCTATCCTCTAAGATGATACAAGAACAGAGCTAAAGATTATATAGACTATCAACAGACCTTAGCATAAAATATGCTAATACAGAAGTGGTCTAATACTACCTTTGCATCACAAATGTAGTTAAGGGTGGAACAAAGGATCGTTAACTATGGCTGTCCCAGGTCTACAGGGACATGGATAAGAATCATCTTCCTCCTGATGAATTTAGTAGGGCTCTCAGTGGCAAGGGATGGCTGGATAGGCTGGTTCACTATGATACCTTAAATTTATGGAGCTGTGTTCTCAGATGAGAATGAACACAGTAGTCTGTGAGGTAAAGGTGAGCGGACATTGCTGGGGCAAAGTCACATGGGGTAAGTGAGACAGCCTGGAGGAGGGCAAGGACTAGGGTTTGATCTCTGCCTGATGGGAAGCAGGGACTGAGAAACACAGGATGACGTTTTCTGGAGCTTAGAAGAAACACAAAAGATCTCATGGCTGCCATGTGAGAACAGGGAAGGTGTGCACAGATACAGTTATCCGGGGAGAAGAGGAAAGGTATATGTAACGTGATGGCAAAGAAAAAATGGGTTTTGAAATGATTTGATGAAACCTGCAGCAGGAAAAGCACAGGATCGAATATGCTGAGGAAGGGGCAGAGGTGAGTCAGAGGTGACTTAGGTTTTTGCTTTGCAGTGTTGAAGAGATCTTGATGTTGACATGGTCCATGGAAGCGAGACTTGAAAATCACAGAAATGAGGTGCATAGCGGTGTCTTCATCACATGTAGTGTGAGCTGATGACAAGAACATCAGTCTGAATCATCGTAGAGTAGCCAGACTCAGGGGTAGAAGAGGAAGGTGTGTGTATCTACCGAGAGAGTCACCGGGTCCTCTGTCCTGCACGGCCAAAGAGAGAACCTGACAGTGACTGGGGAGGACAGGCAGAGGACCAGTTGACCTCTTCCGTCTGAAGCTTGGGTTTGTAATACACGCTATTTTGCTGTTC